TCAAATAATATCGAAGCATCCCTACCGCATACAGAAAAATTACCTTTGATCACGGCAACTGAGGCCACTGCATCTGGTCTAGCCGAAAAAACATAGAACCTAGCTGGAGTGCCGACTGGCTGGCCTCCACCTGACTGACCTATAACTGGCTGACCTCCACCTGCATGGCCTCCACCTCTAGGAAAGCTCGTACCTACCTGCCCTCTACCTCTGGGTGGCCGTACGGCTGGTGCTGTAATCATGGGCTGCTGACCCTGCTGCACTGCCTTGCCCCGAAGTTTGGGGCAAAACCTCTGCATGTAGCCAAGATCCCCGCACTCATAACAACCCCTCAGAGCGGTAGACTACTGCCCTAAAGTCTGACCCTGATGGCCTGAATACCCACTGGAAGAACCCTGAAAAATGGGTGGGCGATATGAACTCTCTGGCATGACGCTGAAATAAGCTCGCACTGGAGCACCCCGAGGAGGCGGCGGTGCTGGATATGTGGGCTACTAGGCTGACCTCTCCCAAACTGACCTCTGCCCCCAAATGAAGCACCACTGAACCCTCCAGAATAACGGAACTGCTTGTCTCGCGGCATCTACTCTCGGCCCCACTGATGAACACCCTCGATCCTCCGAGCTATCTTCATAACTATCTGGCAAGAAGTCCCCAGCTCAGCCCCTCGGGTCATAATGGCCCGAATACCTGAATGCAACCCAGTAACAAACCTCTGTACTCTCTCCACATCAGTAGGAAGTATCATAAGTGCATGGCGAGACAACTTAGAGAATCTCGCCTCATAGTCGGTCACTGACATCTTACCCTACTAGAGCTGCTCAAACTAAAATCGCAACTATTCCCTCTAAGAGGGTGGAATTTACCTATCCATAAAGGTACATGTGAACTGGTCCCAAGTCATGGAAGGAGAACCTGTTGTCCTGCTCAGAAGATAAGAATGCCACCATCTACGGGCCCTGCCCTCCAGCTGAATAGTAGTGAAATCCACCCCGTGGGACTTTAATATACTCATGTTGTGCAGTCTGTCCTTGCACCGATCAATGAAGTCCTAGGGATTCCCGTGCCACTCACCTCCGAAGACAGGAGGGTATAGCCTAGTCCATCTGTCCAATAGCTTTTACGGCTCGCCGGTCGCAACTAGTCTAGGCTCAGGTATGGCTGCTGCCACTGGCTGGGCTCCGCCCACAGGTAGTATGCCCAAGGTCTGATATACAACTACTGCATACCCAGGAGCTTGAGCAGGGGGGTCTATGCTCCCCCTCCAGCCTGAGATGTGGCTGGGTCTGCTGGAAATAAACTAGCCTGGGTCATAGTATCCATGAATCGTAACATATAGCCCATAACCTTCTAAAAGCCCAGTGCTGACATGAAATCTACCGGGCTGGCTCTACTGCAGGCACCTCGCCCTGCCCCTAAATTATGGGATCCTTTACTGGATCCACTAGTGGTATAGCTGGGTAGCTCTGGGACATCCTAGTCCCCTATGTCGGGCTGGTGCCCTCCCCTGACCTCTACCTCGACCCTTAACAACAGGGGGAGCAGCTCCTCTCGGGTATGTAACATCCGTCGTGCGTGTTCTCACCATCTGTGAGAGAATAAGAGAAAGATACTTAGTAAAACCTCAACTGCACGATAGGAGATGAAGAAAGAGTAGTTTCCTAACACCCTATTCCCTCTCGAAGATAAGTGCGTACGTCTCTGCACCAATCCGCAAGACTCTATTAGGCTTGCTCATAACTTATGAGACCTACATGAACCCAGTGCTCTGATTACCATGTTGTCATAACCCAATTCCTCCTATAGGCCGTGATGGCGCCCAACATTACCGCTAGGCAAGCCAACAATGAACTAACCACATAATTGTTTCTTTTAACAATTTAGAAATAGCTGATTTTTAATTAGTGCATAAATAAGAAGTGAGAATTTAATAAAATGAGAGAGAAATAATTTTTAAGAGCAAGTGAGATAAATAAATAACCAAAAATCATCATGTCTATACTAGCTTAATCTCCAAGACATGGTGTCACAAGTGTATGAGCTACTAGTAAAATATACAAAAGAATACTACAGTACTGTCTGAAGTGAACTAGACAAAAATAAAAGCAAAAGAAAGACTTCGGTTGCTACAGATTGGGCTCGGAAGGCAGCTCACCGCAAAGTCTCATGGAAATCAAAGATGAGCGTCGGACTGATACCCAGATGCACGTGCCTCATATCCTGCACATTTAGTGCAAAAGTGTAGCGTGAGTACATAAACAATATGTATTCAGTAAGTATCTAGTCTAACCTCGAAGAAGTAGTGACAAGGGGTCGACTCCGACACTTACTATGGGCTAACAATAAAGTAATGGAAATTCTAAATAGACATGGGCTATATAATGAAACTGTAAAACTCAATAACAAGAAATAAATAAACCATTCTTTATTGATAATAATTTTCAAGTAAATTTTCATCATTTAACAATTTAACCTCTCAATCCAATTAAACAATATCAATTAAAACTGGCTCCACGTAGTATTACGCACGAATTATGCCGAGGTCATACGGCTCGATCTAACGTACAAATATATAAATTGTGCACTGGCGAGGGTCGAACGACACGAACTATATATGCATCTATTAATCTGCTGAGGCGAACAACCGGCTCCCATGAGAATAGTGGAATTTACCTCGCTCGCGGAAAAATACTTGCGATGCGAGTGAACATAGATTTCTCAAAATTATCATAATATTCTTAAATTCTTTCCAAAAATATGGAATCTAAACTTGGAACTTTAAATCTTGAAATTCTCAATCTCAGCTCTTATTCAATGCAATTAATAAGCATAATCAAATAATGATGTCAACAAGGCATGGTTTAAACCTAAGATTACCCGGACATAAGCATAATTAATAGCTACGTATGGACTATCGTCACCTCGTGCGTACGTATCCGCCACAAATAAAAGCACACATTAGTTTACTTATGGGGTTAATTCCCTCTTACAAGGTTAGAAAAGAGACTTACTTCGTCTCAAAGCTTACTTTTCGGTCCACAATTGTGCTTTAAACCCTCAACTCGGTGCCTAATGACTCGAAACTAGTCAAATGTTATATAAAATAATCAATGCATGTGATTTCCCAACCCCAATTGAAGAATTCCTAAGATTTACCCCCGTGCCCACGTGACCGGATTCCGGAATTTTCAAAGATAAATGTTACCCATAACCTGACGAACTCGAATATATAATTTTCACTAAATTTCATAACCATTTTCGTGGTCAAATCCCACTTTTATCAAAAACTTAGGTTTTTCATCTAAACCCATGATTTCACAAATTTTACATGTTAAATCTATCCGTAATCTATGTATTTGACTCACATTGTATAGAAATTACTTACCTCAAAGTGTTAGGTGAAAACTCATCTCTAAGAGCTCTAAGAATCGCCCAAGCAATGAAATAAATGAGCTCAAAATGCCTAAGTCCCGCATTAAATTGAGGTTCCGCCTTTTACGATTTTCGCATCTGTGGAAGTTTGGTCGCTTCTACGGCTCCGCATCCGAAAAAGAGCCCCGTATATGCGGTCCTCTCCTTAGCTGGCCCCCTAGATTCTGCAACCAGCGACTCGCTTCTGCGGCTGGCCAAGCGCAGGTGCGATTACACCAGAAACTGGAAGCTTCAGCTGCTACTCCGAGTCCAAACTTGGTCCGAGCCTTGTTCGATTAACACAGGGGCCCCTAGCGTCCCTCCCGAACATACCAACAAGTTTCAAATCATAAAATGGGCTCGCTCGCACCCTCGGAACGCATAAAACATCAACAAAATTAAGAATCACACCCCAAACCAAATTGAATCAACTTAAGAACTTCAAGTTCTTCAAACTTACTCCGAACGCGCCGAAACCTACTTAAACTACTCGGAATGATACTAATTTTGCGTGCAAGTCCTAAATTACCATACAGAACTCTTCCCAGGCTGGAAATCCCAATTGGACCTCGATAACACCAAAACCTACTCAAAACCAAATTTAAAGAACTTTAAAACCTTCAAAGAGTCAACTTTCACTATTAGGCGCCGAAACGCTCCCGGGTCATCCAAAACCCGATCCGAACATACGCCCAAGTCCAAAATCATCATACGAACCTATTGAAACCATCAAATCTTGATTCCGAGGTCGTTTACTTAAAACGTTGACCGAAGTCAAACTTAGCCTTTGAAAGCCAAACCATGGAACCAAGTGTTCCGATTTTAACCCGAACTCTTCGAAATCCCAAACCAACCATCCTCGCAAGTCATAAAATAGTAAAAACACGTACGGAAAGTCTATTTAGGGAAACGGAATTCTAAAAAGTAAGACGATCGGTCGAGTCGTTACAATAATATTACATAGTTAAGTCTGATTAAAAAGTCAGTTGCAAGTAAATATCTATACAACATATTGGTTGAATATTTGGTAAAGAGGACGGTATAATTTGCTGGAGTTGGTCAAATTACACTGGACTGTGTGCAAGTATAAGTGAACAAAAACTTACATCTTTAATAATTAAATAAAATATACTCCTATATTGTTTGGAGCGGGTGTTGGCGTAAGAGGTCATTTGAGGTAGGGCGGAGCTAGGATGCGGAATACAGGTTCAGCTAAATTTAATAATTTTAGTCCGAATTCTGTATTTATCTTAAAAAATTTATTAAATATGTACAAATTATTAACTTAGAACCTAGTTACTTAAATGAAGTGGAACTCCGAACCTATAAACTTCAAATTCTAACACTGTCTTTGATTAGAGGTTACTGAATAACCAACCTATTACATTTTTCTACACAAACAAGTTATTATACAACCTATTATGTGCACTGGTGGTGAAATTTTTTTTTTTGGTACAACTTAACTTATTATAGGAGGTTACTTTTCATTTCTCAGCCATACAAGCAATTACTTATTATAGCAATTGCCGTGCATTGGTACCTGTAGATGCTCTTACAATATCAGTGTTTTGAACTTGAACTTTTCATACAAAGGGCAACTTCACAAGGTGAACAATGTTTCCCATGCTTATTATCACAAATTACAAATTGTTTTACACACAACCAAAAGAAAACAATTTAATAGTGAAAATAAAAAGGAAGCTACCTTGAAAACAAATCAGGCAAACACAGAGATAAATCACAACACAACAACATTTTACAACCCAATGATTGAAAATTAAGGATTAAAACAGGAGACACTAGCTAGCAAATCTTGATGCATTTCCCTCTCTAATTACACTTGAAACCTGTGGGAATGGTCTTAGCACAAGCACTAACCAAAGCACTAAGTGCAACAGGGATATCCAATTTGACAATTCCAAGCACATTAGCCTTAATTGCAGTGCAAAGGCAAGCTGCAACTTCCAAATCAGCTAAACCTTGAAGCAATGAGCAACAAGGACTTGTCACTTGACTCCCAATTGCTACATTAACAAGCCCAAGTACATCAGCACAAACACCAAGCTTCAATGTGTCCCTTGGGCAAAAGGGGTTGGCTGGGGGTGCTTTCTTTGGTGATGGCTTTGGCTTGATTGGTTCACTGCATGGACCACAAGCAGTAGTGAATGTGGCAACAAGGAGAAGGGAAAGAATGAAAATGGTGGAGGAGAAACTGGCCATGACTGTAGAGAGTTTTAGTAGCTAGGCTTCTAAGATTAGGGGTAGGTGCTCTTGTATGAGGAAAAAAGAGCTATATTTATAGAGTTTTAACTTTATGTATATGGACAATGTAAAAGAGTTCTTACACTATTAAATTTCTTAAAAAATAAGTAACATCGCCCATATTATTCAGATTCTTCAAAAAAGTTGTACTCATGTCAGATCCTCAAAAATAATGCATAATATTATTTTTGGAGAATCCGACATAGGTATAACGATATTATTTGGAGAATTCGAGTAAGATAGCAAGTAACTATTATTGAAAATGAGATTAGTAATTTAAGATATATTACATGCTACAACAATTTAAATTAATTAATGGAGTAGTATAAAAGTTCTTTGCACTATGAATGTATGTAAGTTAGATCCATATTTTGTATGGGAAAAATTGTGAGGTTGAAGTTGGAAGTTTGATTGAGTGGAAGAGAGTGAAAAAACAGATGATGCTGAACCAGTTGTAATTTTTTGTAAGTTTGTGCAAAAGCTGGTTGTATTTTTGACCTCTTGTAGTTAATTTCCTTGGCTTTAGCAAGTGTTTCATCGACAGGACAAAGCACGCCACTGGGCACATTATGTGTTATGGACCTACCTCATATTTTCACTGTGATCAACTCATCATTTCAAAAAATAAGAGGTGATTAACAGTTGAATTTTTACATAACGAGTAGGGACGGAGCTAGAAGTTCGTCTACGGATTTGGCCGAATCCAATAGCTTTTGCTCAAATAATATATTTGTGCTAAAAAATTCATTAAATATGTATAAATATGAAATTTAGATTCTCATTATTAACACTTAAAATCATCATTATAAACAAAATCCATAAAGTCAAAATTCTGGTTCCCCGTATGATAACGAGTGCATTGCAAAGAAGTACAAGTATAACAAAGAAGAGAAGATTTTTGTGCTATTATATTATTCTTCAACTACATGTTTTTTATTGTATTAATGATTTACAAATACATTGTTCAAGGCAGATTCTATTTGTGCCTCAAAACTTCTAGGGGAGAATTAACTAGCTGCAATGATGTTTTTTGAAAGAAGAATCAATTTACCAGTTTTATGGATCGTCTTAACTAAAGTAAGATGTACGGTTTTGGACATTTAAAACCGAGACATATTACAGCGCTCATTACTTCGTAAAAGTTTAATCTTATTTATTGTTTAGATTTTTTTTATTTTTTATTTTTGTTTAGTCGGACACCCGGTAGTACACCAAAAAAAAAATATTGCTAAACAGTATATAAGATTTTTTATACTGTTATAGGTCAGCTAGCTAAAAGATAACTGCATATAATATTATTCATAGCAAGAGCTTCTTTGGCCAAGCTTTTGAAAGAGAAAAAAAAATTATCAACCGGCTACAATATGTTAAGTTATATTGATAGTGTAAATTTTTTTTACATTATCATTATATATAAATTAAATCCTTTTAATAACTTAAAACCACGGCCATTCCAAAAAAAAAAAAGAGAGAATTACGATCAATCCTTTTTATAATTAGCATTGCTGTCATGCATGGAAAGGGTTCATATCCAGCTTGTGAGTATAATAAGAAGACTGTCGTTAGGAAAGAAATGGACAATCTCTTTAATGTTTCCTTGTCCTATGGTTTTGTACAGTAATAATCTGATGAATCATACATCAATTATTGAAGCAATACAGATTTTCGATTTGTGATTCTGATCCCTTCTCCTTCTCCTTCTCCCCACCCCACTGATCTATATGCATGTGCATCATGTCTGGCATGCATTACATTACTGCCATTTTCCTCTCATTTACTTGTCCTTTTTTGAAAAATAGGTTATTTCGGTGCACTAAACTCTGTAGGATTCGAGAAATGAACCGATCATATTTAAGTTTATTGTGAACAATTTTGTTGTGATTAACTCCAAAGATACTTTTGATATTAGGTCATACGTTCTTTCTTTTCGGCCGTTAATGTGGAACTTTATTAATTTGTACATCTAATAATCTCCCTCGACATGACTCATCAATAACCTTCTTTTCACGATTCAAAATTCTTTTATAGGAATCGTGATGGTACCTAGTCCCTAGAACTAAGTAAGCGTAACATATAGAGAGTTGTCAATAAATTTAAACCAGTTAATAATTAAACATGAATCGGAAATTTCTATACAAGCCAATAATCTACTGTAGATATACAACATTTGAAAACTGGTAGTACAAGTCATAAGCTTTTCTAAGATTAACTAAGAATATCAAATACATCACTGTTTGGAATAGAAATAAACAGTAACTAAATAAAGCTTCAGAAGGTTATTCCGAGGTCTGCGAACGCAACGTCAGGTATAACTTGAAGTATCCGCCGCAACTCACAGTCATCTAGCTAACGACCAACACGCTCCGAGGTACCTGGATCTGCATGAAAATGTCCAGCAAGCGTAGCATGAGTATACCATAGTGGTACCCAATAAGTATCGAGACTAACCTCGGTGGAGTAGTAACGAGAAACACTCAAGATACCTACTAGACATAATAACTTGTACAAATATAAATATAAAATAACAAGGAATAATATCAATATAAAGCTAAACATGGTTAGAATAACAATACAATACTTGCAAATGGGAGCTAGAAACAACAATTAGCAACAAGGTTTAAACAGGTAATAACGCCGTAAAATAAGCAGAATACAGTTTAAGTCCAGTGAAACAAAGTAAGGAAGAACAAGTAATGATCTAATAATCATTCTCACACAAAGTTTATACAAGAATATTCCCGAGGTACCACACCTTATAATCACCAATCACAGACCATAATCATTTGGCATCTTGTGCCCACATTATCAATCACAACCGCACGGACAACTCACGTGCTGCACGGATAGACTCACGTGCCAATACCATTAATACCTCATATCTGCACGGACAACTCACGTGCTAACAGTAAAAACCTCATATTAGCACGGACAACTCACGTGCCAATAGTAACAATATCTCATATCCGCTCGGACAACTCACGTGCCAATAGTAAAACTCACCCACAGAAGGCAGGTATAAAGAGATTACATGTAAATTATCAACAAACATCAAGGTTCATATTCCCGGACTGATATAAGTGATAGATTACGGTGTATGCTTGTGCAAATGTACTACTACAGCTCGAGTCAACAAACAAGATTAGTAACAACGTATGGTGCATTGGAAATAACACAACAAAACCCGCGATATGCATGACTCACACAAGATAGACATACCACCGCTCAAATATCATCAATAACAATGCCCCCAGTTCATCATAAATTATCCCCGACATAGTCCCCATTGTCTTGCCGCGTGCGCACAATAAAGTAAATGCACGCCTTATCTCGCAACATACGCATAACAATTATCCCACATTGTCTCACCACATGCGCAAACCCAACATATTTAGCCTGTCTTGTCACGCCGCATGTGCAAATATCAATAATAACAATAGCACAGATAACTCACGTGTTAACATCCCAACAATTCTCTCAACAATATCACATTTGCCAAAATATAACAACATAATATAATAACCCGTACTATATGTGATCATATACCATAATGTTTCCACAATAACAATTTTAATACCACAATCACACATAGCCCACGGCTCGAGAACACCGAGTACAACAAGAACAACAATAACACGAGGGTACGACAAGTAAATCAACACAATAATTACAACAATATAATGAAGCGGAAGAATAAGCTCAACAATGAAATACATAACAAGTAATAATGACTTCAAGTAAGAGTATTTCAACAATAAGATAGAGAACATGTGACATCGACTTCAGATAAGGATAACCAACTACTGAAGGGATAACATGTAACAAGAACTTCAAATAAGGATAGTCAACTAGGAAGGAGATAACGTGAAACTATAACTTCAAATAAGAATAACTCAATTATGAAAGAGATAACATGAAAATAAAGAGGCAACAATTACAATTAAATCATGTATGGGTAAATTTGGCAACAAAAGATAGAGCAGGAACCAACAACTTCAAATAAGGCATATAAAAGTAAATTTAACAATGGAGGACATAACATGATAGAGCAACTTCAATTTAGTGTGCATAAGAACCTTAAGAGTCTAAACCGGACAAATTTCCACATATAAAGACGTGTACATACTCGTCACCTCGAGTATGCGTCTTTCACATAGTTCAAATAATGCAACATATCAATCCTTATACGGTAGTTTCCCCCACACAAAGTTAGGCAAGATACTTACCTTAAAATACCGTATTCAATACTCTAAAATAGCTTTTCCTTTACAATTCACCTCCATTCGGCTCAAATCTAACCGAAATCGATTTAATAACATCAAATAATGCAAGAGAAATCAATTCCAATAAATAAAGCTATGATCTTTGCAAAATTCCTCAAAAGTCAACTCCGGGCTCGCCCGATCAAAACTCGGGTCCAAAGATGGATTACGACTACCCTTAACCCAACGAGTATATACATGTATTTTGTTTCAAAATTCGAGTCCAAATCGACTCCGAAAACTTAAATTCTCATTTTTCAAAACATAGACAACGTTTCTCAAATTTTCACTTTGTATCTCATAATTTAGATGTTAAATCTCATATATAATCATGTCAAATAGTTGAAAATTGATCAAAACCAATTACCCAATACTTATAGATGAAAATCCCTCTTCAAAATCGATTCTCACCGAATCTAGGGTTCAAAGATATGAAAATGAGACCAAAATCTCATCTCTTAGCTTTTATGTCCAGTCGCAAATATGAATTGCGAGCCCCGCAAATGCGAAGAATAATTCGCAAAAGAAATACTCCTCACAGTCCTGCTAGCATCGCAAATGGAGCATTAAGTTCGCAAATGCGAATCAAGGACACTTCGCAAAAACGATCTTCCTGATCGCAAATTCGAACAAGCTCACCCATGCCCCCATCGCAAATGCGAACGCTGGGTTCACAAATGTGAACCTAGTAGACTCCAACCATTCTCGCAAAAGCGACCTCCCACCTCGCAAATGCGAGGGTCGGAAATGCGAACAAATTCTCGT